TACTTTTTTACACTCTGGAGGTGTGAACAAATGATTTTATATGGTTTGAATATTCTGGTTTGGTAGGTTTTTCTGGAAAAGTTTCAACGGGTCTAGAGTTTATTCTTATTTTAGTTAAGTATTGCTAATAACGTTTTAGGGGCATTGTTTAGAGTAAAATAAATTATAGGGTTGTTTTGCAGAGACATACATTTTTCTTTGAAATGAGGTAGATCATGGCACGGTAGCATATGGGCAGGAGGGCCAATATCGATACACAAAGGTTTTCAGCTCCAGAGTTGAATACTGAAATGCCTATTATTTTAACTTTTCCGATTGTCTCCATCCGACAGCACTGGATTAGAGAAAAGAAAAACAGCCGAGCTTTAATAACTGGATCATTGTATAAGCTCCGCTCTTCCCCACGGATGCTGCTAGCTGCTAACTGCTGCACACAGTGATCCCTGCTAATTCAACTGCTACATTCAGAAGTCGTTGCTACTGTATGTGCTCGATTTACCTCCAGCAGATGTCAAGGTTTGCTAAATAACAATAACAACTCATAAAATGCCACATTAGATAATTGATTGAAAGGGCAGTTTGATGATCAAGAAGCTTTGTCTCTGTCGGACAATCAATGTTTAAACTGCTATTAATAATTTCTGATTTGTATCCAACAGTTTTAACAATGCACCACATCCACATGCCGAGGCTGTTGCTATGGCAGGTTGTATTGAACCAGAGAAAACCTTGAAGTTGTCATCATCAGAAGATAAACTTGAGCATTGTAACGCTGAATCGTTTTGCATATCATCATTTGAAACATGAAATCATCCAGTGTTTGGTGTACAGGTGAAACATGGAAAATGAATGTTCAAAGTTCATTTATTTCAAGGCATTTTCAAAATATATTTTCAATATTATTTTGTATTTGTATTCTTATTTGGGGTTTTAACAAGCTGTAAGCCAGTTACCAACATTATAACAAATAAAGACTTTATATATCTTTATCCATATATGAGTGTAGCTGCATAGTTTCACATACATATATGTTATGGCTCCCAGTTTTCATGGGATCAACCTAAAAAGATAAAACCCTGTATATATGCTCAGAAGACCCATCTGTATCAACTGGACAAATCTGTCCAAGTCAGCAAACAGGAACTGGGACTGGAACTCGCGTACATGTTCAATAGGTGACGAGTCCAGTGGGTTTCCTGACCATGACAGTGTGCAGATAAGTCCCCATTTTCAGCCAGATGCAAAGTGTGTATCAAAATGCATCGTGACAAGATCCTCTTCATTCACCTTCCTCATTCATCCACCTCATGTACATAATTAATCTGAAAACAACCCAGTTCTGTCATGGTATCAGACATGTCGCCTATAGATGCTCTGGATCAACAGCATGTTCCAGTTCCTGCCAATATTCAGACACTTCACAGTTCACACAGTCATCAAACCAACGTTCCAAACGCCAAATCAGAACAAGAAATACTCCATATGGCATAATGCAACGTGTTAGGCAAATTGTGGTTACACCAGATACTGGGCCCCTAAAATCCAAAAACTTTTATTGAGGTCACCTCAAGGCACACCTGTTGAGTACTCATCCTGCCTAATCAGCATCTTGTTATTATAGGACTTTATCACTGCTTTATCTCGATCTCATGGACACCTTTAGAAGAACTACAGCTAACGATTCTATTATTCATTAATACTTCCATTTTCATCTATCCATTTTCTTCCGCTTTATCCGTTGCCAGGTTGCGGGGGCAGCAGTCTAAGCAGAGACGCCCAGACTTCCCTATTCACACACACTTCCTCTTGCTCATCCGGCGGGACCCCAAGGCGTTCCCAGGCCAGCTGAGAGACATAGTCCCTCCAGCGTGTCCTGGGTCTTCCGCGGGGCCTCCTCCCGGTGGGACGTGCCCGGAACACCTCCCCAGGGAGGCGTCCAGGAGGCATCCGGAACAGATGCCCGAGCCACCTCAACTGGTTCCTCTCGACGTGGAGAAGCAGCGGCTCTACTCCGAGCTCCTCCCGTGTGACTGAGCTCCTCACCCTCTCTAAGAGAGCGCCCAGCCACTCTGCGGAGGAAGCTCATTTCGACCGCTTGTATCCGCGATCTCGTTCTTTCGGTCATTACCCAAAGCTCATGACCATAGGTGAGGGAGGGAACGAAGATTGACCGGTAAATCGAGAGCTTTGCCTTTTGGCTCAGCTCCCTCTTTACCACAACGGTCCGATACAGCGACCGCATCACTGCGCACGCTGCACCGATCCGCCTGTCAATCTCACGCTCCATCCTTCCCTCACTCGTGAACAAGACCCCGAGATACTTGAACTCCTCCACTTGAGGAAGGACCTCTCCACCCACCTGCAGAGGGCAAGGCACCTTTTTCCGGTCGAGCACCATTGCCTCGGATTTGGAGGTGCTGATTCTCATCCCAGCCGCTTCACACTCGGCTGCAAACCGTCCCAGTGCATGCTGCAGGTCCTGGTTCGTTGGAGCCAACAGGACAACATCGTCCGCAAACAGCAGAGATGAAATCCTGTGATCTCCGAACCGGACCCCCTCCGACCCCTGGCTGCGCCTAGATATTCTGTCCATAAATACAGTGAACAGAACCGGTGACAAAGGGCAGCCCTGTCGGAGGCCAACATTCACCGGGAACAGGTCTGACTTACTGCGGGCAATGCGAACACAGCTCTGGCTCCGGTCATGGAGGGATCGGATGGCCCTCAGCAGAGGACCGCCGACCCCGTACTCCCGGAGAACCCCCCAAAGGACACCCCGGGGAACACAGTCGAACGCCTTCTCCAAATCCACAAAGCACATGTGGACAGGTTGGGCGAACTCCCATGAACCCTCGAGTATCCGATGGAGAGTATAGAGCTGGTCCAGTGTTCCACGACCGGGACGAAAACCACACTGCCCCTCCTGGATCCGAGATTCGACCATCGGCCGTAGCCTCCTCTCCAGTACCTTGGAGTAGACCTTACCGGGGAGGCTGAGGAGTGTGATCCCACGATAATTGGAACACACCCTCCGGTCCCCCCACTTGTAGAGAGGGACCACCACCCCGGTCTGCCACTCCATTGGCACTGCCCCCGATCGCCACGCGATGTTGCAGAGACGTGTCAGCCAAGACAGTCCTACAACATCCAGAGACTTTAGATAATCAGGGCGGATCTCATCCACACCCGGAGCCTTGCCACCATGGAGGCTACCAACCACCTTGGTGACCTCAGCCAGGGAGATGGATGTATCCGCCCCAACATCCTCAGCCTCTGCCTCTGTAACAGAGGACGTGACGGGGGGATTGAGGAGAACCTCAAAGTATTCCTTCCACCGCCCGACAATATCCCCAGTCGAGGTCAGCAGCTCTCCACCCGCACCGTACATGGTGTTGGCAAAGAACTGCTTCCCCCTCCTGAGGCGCCGGATGGTTTGCCAGAATCTCTTCGAGGCCGACCGATAGTCATGCTCCATGGACTCTCCGAACTCCTCCCAGTCCCGGGTTTTTGCCTCTGCAACAGCCCGGGCCGCGGCACGCTTGGCCTGCCGGTACTGGACAGCTGCCTCAGGAGTCCCCCGAACCATCATGGCTCGATATGACTCCTTCTTCAGCCTGACAGCATCCCTTACTGCCGGTGTCCACCACCGGGTTCGGGGGTTGCCGCCGGGACCAGCACCAGAGACCTTGCGACCACAGCTTCGTGCCGCCGCATCGGCGATTGAGGCAGAGAACATGGTCCACTCGGACTCCATGTCCCCCTCCTCCGCCGGGACCTGGGAGAAACTCTCCCGGAGGTGTGAGTTGAAAGTCCGTCTGACAGGGGGCTCAGCGAGACGTTCCCAGCAGACCCTCACTATACGCTTGGGTCTACCAGGTCTGACCGGCTTCTTCCCCTGCCAGCGGATCCAACTCACGACCAGCTGATGATCGGTTGACAGCTCCGCCCCTCTCTTTACCCGAGTGTCCGAGACACGCGGTCGAAGGTCAGATGATACGACAACGAAGTCGATCATCGACCTCCGGCCTAGGGTGTCCTGGTGCCACGTGCACTGATGGACACCCTTGTGCTCGAACATGGTGTTCGTGATGGACAAACTGTGACTGGCACAGAAGTCCAACAACTGAACACCGCTCGGGTTCAGATCAAGGGGGCCGTTCTTCCCGATCACCCCTCTCCAAGTGTCACTGGCGTTTCCCACATGGGCGTTGAAGTCCCCCAGGAGAATAACGGAGTCGCCGGGCGGTGCACCGTCCAGTACCCCTCCCAAGGACTCCAAGAAGGCCGGGTACTCTGCACTGCTGTTAGGCCCGTAGGCCGTCACAACAATGAGAGACTTGTCCCCCACCCGGAGGCGGAGGGACGCGACCCTCTCATTCACCGGGGAGAACTCCCAACACGTGGCGGCTGAGATGGGGGGCAATGAGAATGGCTGCCCAGTCCTCTCTGCACCGCTTCGCCACCACGGGCCCACAGGAGGGACTGCCCACGTCGTCCATTCGGGCCCCGTGGGCTAAGGCCCGGCCACCAGGCGCTCGCATACGAGCCCCGACCCCAGGCCTGGCTCCAGGGTGGGGCCCCGGCTGCGCCATGCCGGGCGACGTCACTGATAATTAATACTTATTTTAGAGTAATAATTCTTTGGTTTTACATAGCGCTTTTTTGGACACTCAAAGACTCTTCACATGTCAATATTCATTCACTCCATTCACTGTGGTGACAAACTACACTTATAGCCACAGCTGCCCTGGGGCACACTGACAGAAGCGAGGCAACCAGTATATGTGCCATAGGCCCCTCCCACCACCACCTCCCATTCACGCACACACAAACAGCTTCATCTAAACTTGCCAACTAAACCTTCATCACCAACAGATTCTACCTCTACCTCCATTTTTTTGTTATGTTTCCTGCGAAACATAAAACTATCACCGAGCTTTCTCTTCATAAAATCGCCATGTATTGGAGCTGAAGTGAAGACAGTATCAAGTCACACTCACCACTCTGTGTGCTGATCGTCGATGACCAGGAGGACCTTGGGCTTGCGCACGACGGCTTTGGCAGGCTGGGCCCCTCCTTCCGTGGCAGCAGCAGCAGACTTAGCGTGCGCGGCTGCGGCGACATTTTGAGCCATCTGTGCGCTCTTCACCACGCTGGAGAAGGAGCTGAGGAAGCTGGGTGGGTTGGGGGCCGGTTTGGGGCTCGGGCTGGGGGCTACGGCCGGTGCTTGAGGGGGTGTGCCGATGGATCCGGGCGGGTTACGTCTCTCTGTGGCCGGAGAGGCGGGAGAGGAGGTGGAGGAGCCCTGGGGCGCGGGCCTCTGGAGGTCCATCATGTAGCCATTTGGGAGGTTGGCCACAAAGCTGCTGTCGGACAGACGCCGGCGAAGGTAGTTCATGGTGAGGACTGGTGCCTGGGCAGACGGGGCGCGGAGAGGTGAGGGTCAATCCTGCACAGAGAATACGAGTGAATGATTACCATTTTGAGTGGAAACATGTACAACAACTAGGACTGAAATGAACTGATAACACAATGTGACTGGGTCAATAGAAGACGTTCTCCAGGAGCATCACTTGCTCCTCAAATGCACAAAAATTCTAGTACAACAGTGCAATTTATTTCACCTATTACATACAACAGATAAAAGAATCTCCATGTTCCACAATTTTTCAATTAATTAATTCAGTTTACTTACATTGAATGTTTAAAACATTTCAAAATGCAACTGGATTGTGTTTTTGTTTCAAATTTTTTATAAATGCGCTTGCAAAATTCTGCAAAAGGGTGTTTATGTGTTGAAATTGAACCAAAACAAAGCTCAAAGCTTCTCCCTGGTGAAAGTCAAGAAAGATGACTTTAATACACATTGGGTTGTTTGATTAAAAATACTTTGTAAACATAGGTTCAGTTTTATTCTCCAGTCATTATGAAAACATCTAAAACCTCTCATCTGCATGTTGAGGTCTATGTTAGGTTAAAAAAATAAAAATAAACCAGATTTGAAATATAAACTATTTCAAAACTATTAGTTGCATTAAATTGTTAAACTTGTCACAGCTCGAGTGGAACATTCATTCATATGCAAGTTTTAGACTCCATGAACTAATCAAATTTGTTTTTATATTCCTTTCCAACACTGACTTTGCAGTGTGAATACATTGATAAGCCTGTATAATAATCTCCCTCCTGGACTTGTGAGTAACAGTTTGCCCTTTCTTTGGTGTGGGGCTATGAGTATGAGCCTGGCAGAAGGGCTCATGTTTCTTTAGTTGGTAACATACAAATCTGACACTAGAGGCAAGTCCAGCTCATGTCGGGCCAAAACTGCCCACTCGCCGTCAGCTTTCATTTGTAAGCCCTGGAAAACTGCTACCAATAATCAGCGTCAGATTGTGTGTACACATTTAGAATCATTCCAAAAGATGTTTCTGCAAAATGTAGAAGTCCTATGAAGAGAAAATCCTGCATATCGAACTGACGCAGGGTACAGGGTTTTAAATGAAAGAAAACACTGTTCTACCTGCAAAAATCATATGATCATTTAGATAAATGCATGTGTGCCTTTCAGGTGGAGGTTGAAGCTAGGGTACATGATTATTAAACGGTAAAACGAGGATGCTGATATATAAATCTTAATAATAATAACAATACATCTTTAATTGTAAATCACTTTTCATTAACCATCATTTCAAAGCCCCGCACAGTCAGCATAATAAACAATAAAAATAGTCATGATCAAAATAATTGGATCGAATAGTAGGTACGGGAAGACAAAGCAGACACACAAAACACACAAAGACAGACAAAAGGACCAAGTAGACAGTAAAATACAACATTTCATTTCATTCTTTCAGTCTTTTTGGGGAGAAATCACTGCAAAAATCCTCTTTAACCAAGACTATGCAAAATGTAACTAAAATGTAACTGTAAAAGAAAAAAAACTCATGTTCTGAAATGTTTATGTTCCTGGAGTATTACTTTTTAATTAAAAAGAGAAAGCCATATCTGCTTCTAACGTCATCAATAAACAGCGTTGTACCCATAGACTGTAAATATTAACAGACGTATAGTCACGCCTATCTCCGTCCTAACTAATGGGCCGAAAATTGGGCTTTCTTGGAGTGATTCCAAATGGCCGCGGGGGCTGGAAAATGTGAAAAAACCAGTGGGGGCGGGTCCCAGCTCAAAAGTGGCCAAAATGACGTGCGCTGACATGCTGCAATACCACCCCGGGCCGATGGGGGTGGACCCAGAATAAGAATTAGCCAATGCTAACATATAGCATTGGCAGACCTCTCGAAAACGTCTTTACAGGATGGACCAAAAGTTGGCTCTTGACCCAAAGCTCCGTTCCACATGTGTGTCAATGCTGAGGGGGGTGGATTTTTTTGGTCCACTCTAGTTTACTTGCTGTGAATTTCTGAAGTCTCTCGTTCAAATGAATGGAGCTGCGCCGGCTGACGCATATAAATATACTTTGTACAAACATTTTTTTTTTTTTTTTTTTTTATTAACTTTATTACATTTTAATACAATTACAAGAATGAAAACATAAGAGAAAGAAATAAAACAAAATTATATTCGAAATCTAATATATACGGTTTACAAATACAGTAGGTGTTAAGGTGGGAGGGGTTGGGGGGGAGGGGGAGAGTAAAAAAAAATAAAATTAAAATTATTCGGGTTGCGTTTTTTATTGTTTCAGTTCAGCCTTGGTTTGCGGAGTTTCTGTATATGTATGTGAATGTGTATGCAATGCAGGGGTGCATAGGTGCTATGTCGAATGTGGTCAAATGAATCTATATATTTTACAAAAAATAAATAAAATAATAATAATAAAAAAAATACATAAAAAAAAAAAAAAAAGGGGTTTATATATATACACATCATCATCGCTATCACTATTATCATCGTCATTGCCACAATCATTACCCATTGCTAATTTTATCTTGCTGGGCTTTGGTGAAAAATAATAATAGTAGAATAAATGACAATAATAATAAATCAATAATTAATATTAACAAAAATAAACAAACAAATCATAATAATAATGAAAAGCAGAGCGTGCTGCGAGACGGGCTCACTCAACAGGCCCTGCTTGTCCTCTTGTCAGTCCTGTGAGGTGCATTAAAAAAACAAGAAATTTGTGGGGCCGATGAGGTGGGAGATACCCCACATCGGGCCCACTTCTTGTCTGCCCTGTTGTTCTCTATGTTATGTATATTTGATTTGTTCATTTATTTTATAAACACAACGTTATATATATTCTTTTTCTTTCCTTCTTTCCTCTCTTTTCCAGTACCTGATTGTAATCTTGGATCTAATGTGTATAGTTTGTTCAGATATCCAATTTAAGTGAGAGAGGAAATGTAAATAATATTAATTATAATAACAATTATAATAACAATTATAATAACAATTATAATAACAATTATAATAACAATTATAATAACAATTATAATAACAATAATGACAATAACAACAACAGCAACGTGAGGAAGTAAGTAAACAAATAAATAAATATTTGGAAATAAATGATCCTAAATTCATATATAAATAGTAATAGTAACTGATTTTAACTTATCTATTTGGAGAGTGTGTGCGAGAGTGTATGTATGCGTGCATGTGTGTGCAGTTGTGTATGTGCATCTGTTTATATGTGAAGGATTTATAAGAATGTGAGTGGCACTTTTAGTCTCTTTGGTATATTAATTTGTGGTTGGGTGTTGGGGATTAAATTGATGTTGAGAAATTATTGGGGTTGATGTCAAAATGACTAATGAATGGTGACCAGGAGTATGTAAAGGAAGTCATGTCATCATCATGGCGAGCTGCTATTTCAGAGGATGTTATGTATTGAGTAAGAGAGTTAGTCCAATGATTGATGTTGATTGTGTGTTTTGTTTTCCAGTTTTGGAGTATTATTTTCTTGGCGACAGTTAGGGATGTTAGTAGACTGTTCTTATGTCTAGGCAGTATTGTTGTTGTTGAAGTGAGACCTAGTAAACAAAGCGAGGGAAGTAAAGGGACTCTGCAGCTCAGGATGTGTGAGAGTTCTTGTGTGATAGTGTTCCAAAAAGCCTGTACAGGAGTGCATTCCCAAAGTGCATGTAGGTAGGTATCAGTGGCCCCCATGGTACATTGTGAACAGATGGCTGTATCTGCTAGTCCCATTTTATGCATCCTGTGTTGTGTGATGTGTGACCTGTGTATGACTTTATATTGGATTAATTGCAGATTGGTGTTGGGTGTCATAGAAAAGATGTTTTTACAAGCTTCTGTCCAGTGTTCCTGTGTGAGTTCTGTATTAAGATCTATGTTCCATTTTTCTGTAGGTAAATGTATTGTATCAGAGTTGAAATGTCGGTATAATTTTGAGGTGAGTTTTTTAATTTCTTTAATGTTCTTTATGTTTTCGAATAGTTGGGATGGGTTTAATGTGTTATAATTTATGTTAATTTTATTTTTAATTACAGATTTAATTTGTAGGTATTGAAAAATATTATTGCTGTCAAGTTGATATTGTTCTCTGAGCTGCGTGAATGTTATGAATTTATTGTTTTTGAATAAGTGGCGTAGGTGAGTGATGCCCTTTTGTTCCCACATGTGGTAGTGAAGAGGTTTTGTATTAATTGTAAAATCCGGATTGTGCCATATGGGAGTGTATTTACAGGGTGATGTGGAGGAGTTAGTTAGTTTTAATGTTTTCCACCAGGCTGTCAGAGTAGTTGAAATGACTGTGCTTTTAAAACAGGGGTGTTTTTTCAGTGTTGTATTTAAAGAAGGTATATCTGCCAGAGGAAGGTGAGTGAAGTATGACTGTTCCAATTGAATCCATGTATTGTTGTGTGATGGTTTTGTCCACTTAACTAGATACTGTAATTGATTGGCCAGAAAGTAGTGGATGAAATGTGGCGCTTCTAGTCTGCCTTGAGCTTTGTTTTTTTGTAAAGTGGTGAGTTTTATTCTAGCTTTTTTGTTTTTCCAATAAAACTTTGTGCACATGGAGTTGAGTTTATTGAACCATTTGTCGGGAGGGGTTACTGGGATGTTAGAGAATAAATAATTTAGTTTTGGGAGTATTTTCATTTTGACAGATGCTATTCGTCCAATGAGTGTAAGTGGTAAATTGGTCCAGCGTTCCAGATCATCTTCTATTGTTTTGAGTATTGGGTTATGATTAAGTGAAAACAACTCTGTCAGCCTGGAGGAAACGGTTATACCCAAATACTTGATATTACCAGTGTGCACTTCAGGAAATGAATCCTGAGCTGCTGAGTCCCAAGCATTGTCTGAAAGGGGGAGAATTATTGATTTATTCCAGTTAATACTATAGTCTGACATCGATGAGTATGTGGTAATTATTTTAAATGTTTCTTGTAGTGATTCTTGTGGAGT